GATTCTTCACTTGCTCCATTATTGTTTGTTAGTTGAGTCCAGGGGACCATGGAAGATTTTCCTGGAAACACACTTGGGAAGTCTCACTGCAACGTGCTCATATACTCACTTCCTCTGCATGCTTTCTGTCTCAAACACCCACTTTCCTTTTACCTACTCATGTGCATCCTCCATGACTACCACCCACACAACCACAAAAGCAGAAGCACCTGCAACAGATGTACACACCTAAGTTACAAGGGGGTAGCAGTGACGTGCATATCAAAATGGAAACTATTAGGCAAATATGTCAGCTATTAAGAAGTTACAAAATAGTGACATTAGAAGTATCTTCAGAATGTCCAAAATTTACATCTGATCCTTTCTATGACTGAAAATACTCCTTCTTAATAGAGACTTAACAGTTGAAAACAACAAAGGGGGAGAAAGACCTGGGTGTATTGGTTGATCACCAATGAGCCATCAATGTGATGCGACTGTGAAAAAAGGCTAATGAAGTACTAAGATGCATCAGGTGAGGTATTTCCAGTAGACAGAGAAGTGCTAATACCACTACACAAGGCAGTGGTGAGACCTCATCTTGAGTATTATGTGCAATTCTGGTCTCTCTTGTTTAAGGAAGATGAATTCAGATGGGAACAGGTGCAGTAAAGACTTACTGAGGTGATCTGAGAAATGGAAAACTTACCTTACAAGAGGAGATACAAACAACTTGGCTTTTTTATTCTAACTAAAAGGAGACTAGGGGGAAAATATGATTTCCCTCCATAAATACAGGAAAGGGATAAATAGCAGGCAGGGAGAGGAGTAATTAAGTGCCAATGTTAACACAAGAAGAAGTGAATATAAACTGGCCTTCAACAAGCCTTCATTGCTCAAAATTAGGCAATGGTTTCTAACCATCAGAGGAGTGAAGTTCTGGAACAGTCTTCCAATGGGAGTAGTGGGAACAAAGAAGCTTAACCTTCAAGACTGAGCTTAATAAGTTTGTGGAGGGGGTGATATGATGAGACTGCCCACAATGTCATTTGGCTGATCAGTGACTGCTAGAAGCAGACAGCTCCAATAACTAGTTGTAGATAGAATTCTAGATGGGGAGGGTTAATACAGAGAATTCTTTCTGAGATGTCTGGCTTGCCCATATGTTCAAGGTCCAACTGATCACCATATTTGGGGTTGGGATGAAATTTCACTCAAGGCAGATTAGCAGAAATGTTGGGGGTTTTTTCCCCAACTTCTACAGTTTGGGACATGGGTCACTTGAAGGTTTTTTTTTTTCCCCAATTTCTACAGTTTGGGACATGGGTCACTTGAAGGTTTAAACTACAGTGTATGGAGAATTATCTGTAACTTGAAGTCTTTGAATCATGATTTGAGGATGTCAGTAATTCATCCAGAGGTTAGAAGTCTATTACAGAAGTGGATGGATGAGGAACTGTGATTTGCATTGTGCAGGAGGTCAGAGTAGACTAGATAGTTACAATGGTCCTTCTGACCTTAAAGTTCAGCTTTTACTTTTAGTGGCAAAGAAAATCATTTATTCAATGTTCTTTGTGATTTCATAATCTTCCTGAAAATGATGTTAGTAAGCTGCAGTCCTACAAACACTTATGCATGTGCCTAACTTTACTATGCATTGGGTTAATTCATGGTTTTAGACTAAGCATGGGTATAAACATTTACACAATCAGGGCCCAGATGAAAGCTATTGCTCATTTTGTTTCTAAACTTGAAGTTTCAGAATCTTCTATTATCTCTATTAGGGTATGTCTACACTGCAAGGCTATTTGGTATCCCAAAATAGCTACCCTGCATCTACACAAGCTGCCCATTATTTGAAAATAATGGGCATGGTATTTTGCCATCCTGGTAAACCTCATTACCTGAGGGATAAGGGATGGCTCGAAATAGCACATTATTTTGAAATTTGGCGCTGTGTAGACACGCCAAATTTCAAAATAGTTTCGAAATAAGATATGCAATTTGTGTAATGCAAATTACATATTTTATTTCGAGTTTAGGGTGCTGTGTGGATGCACCCTCAGTAAAAACTTAGCAAGTCTACCTATGAACTTCAGTAAGCTAGGTGGCTGTATATCGCCTTGTGCTGAGGTCGATAGGTTTAATTTTGTAAGTAGGATTGTACACCTTTTCCCATGTGATCACATGACAAATAGGGTTGCCAGACATCTGGTTTTAGACCAGACTGCTTGCTCAAAAAGGGACCCTGATGGCTCTGGTCAGCACTGCTGAGCAGGCTGTTAAAAGCCTGGTTGCTCTTAGGCAGACTGGGGCATGGGAGGGAGTTAGGGGTGTGAGCTCCCGGTGGCGCTCACCTCCGGTGTCTCCTGGGAAGCGGCAGCATGTCTTTGTGGCTTCTAGGTAAGTGGCAAGGAAGGCTGCCCCCAAGCTCTGCCTCTGCCCCCACAGCTCCCATTGGCTGCAGTTCCTGTCCAGTGGGAGCTGTGAATCAGTGCTTGGGGGCAGTGCACACAGCCTCACTGGGCATCCCTGTGTCTAGGCGCTGCCAGCATACGTCACTGCTTCCTGGGAGGTGCCTGAGGTAAGCGCTGCCCGCAGCCTGAACCCCACCCTCCTACCCCAACCTTGAGCCCCCTCCTGTACCCCAAACCACTCATCCCCAGTCCCACCCCAGAGCCCTCACTCCTACTTGCATCCTAATCCCCTGCCCCAGCTCAGAGCTCCCTCCTGCATCCTCAACCCCTCATTTCTGGTCCTACTCAAGAGCCAGTATCCCCAGTTGGAGCTTTCATCCCCTCCTGCACTCCAAACACATGCCCCAGTCTGGATCCCTCTCCCACATCCTAAGATTCTCATTTTTGGACCTGCTCCAGAGCCTGCACCCTCTGCCCCTGCCCAGAGCCCCAGGTTGATTGCTCATATCCCACACCTCAAACCCTCTCCCACACCTCAACCTCCTGCCCCAGCTTGTTGGCTTTGCTGTAACCACGTTTGGCTTATGCTGTGCTTTATTTGGTGAAAATGTGTGTGAATGAGCAAGGGTGGAGAAGAGCGAACAATGGAGTGGTGGGGAGGGCCTCCGAAAAGGGGTGGGGAAGGGGCAGAGCAGGGAATGGGTTAAGGGTGTTCATTATTCTTCAGCTAGAATGTTGGCAACCTCACGTGACAATGTAGCTAACACACTAGTGGCTGTGCCAGATTCGGTTTTCCATTTGCTAATTTAGAGCCCTGTTCCGCAATGCAAGGTGCTAAATGCTTTGTGGGAGTTTCTGAGTGCCCCAAACTCTCTGTGAAGCAAAGGTGAGTTGAGTTCACTCGTCACGTAACATTATTGTACTCAGAGCTCTTTTATTATATTTGCTTTATTTTGTATTTCTTGTAAACCCTGAACTGGATTGATTTTTCTGATTATTTGTACCTGTTTTTAGTAAAATTGTAACAAAACAATATTTTAAATATACACCCATCAAAAGAAAATAAAGCATTATCAAGCATGCTTACAATATTCTGAATCTTTTTTTTTCTTCATTCCAATCATACACAAAAAAATGTGCTACATTTTTAGATTAAGAAATGTTAATCATCTCTCACATTCATTATATTATTCAGGCTTTTTAAACCTTAATTACACAAATCAGTTGTTAATTATAAATATAGAACATTTAGGTAAAAGTTTGCAATAATAAAATATTAAAAGATTTTCTGTTATATTAGTATTTAGGTAAAACATGAACTAAAACATTTTCTGCTAGTTCTAGCATTAAGGTATAGGCTATATAGAATCAGATGTCTTTAAATAAAATTCTACCCTAAATCTTGATCCTCCAAATGATTACATATATTAGTAATTTTCTGCAAATGATTCACCAGTGAATTAAATGAAATTATTAACATGAGTAAAGTTACTCACATCCCCATGTGTTTGCATGATCAAGGTCTTAATAGGCTGTTAAATATCAAATCAAAGATAGCATGTACTCAATAGCTCTGTGTATACTAAAGTAACATCTATAAAAGAAAATACAGCAACCCATTAAATAGCAAAATAAAAGCTTTGGGCAGCACAAGAGAATTAGATATACAGCATCAATAAATACATGCAAAAGAGAAATACTTCAGTATGGATTTGATCCAAAGACCATTGATGTCAGTAAAAAGAATCCCACTGATTTAAATGAACTTTGGATCAGGCCTGAAGTGACACAGAATTGTTTTTTGTAAGTGTTATGGGATAATCCATTAAGCTGGACCAGGAAGAACTTCTTATGAAAAATTTTTTTAAATGTTATGGGATAATCCATTAATCTGGACCAGGAAGAACTTCTTATGAAAAACATTTAAAATATTCTCTCAAGGGAAGAAAAAACTTTGTCACTAGAGTGGCTGGTCGTTGGGATAAAATTCTTGTTCTGAGGATCTTCTTTGCCAAGAGGTCTAAATCCAGCTCCATGTTTGAAAGAGAATACTTACTGAAAAAACAAACAGACAAACAAAACAATAAACGCTCATAATGTTCCTCCCATAAATTGTTCTTTAAAATATCTCTTCTGTATCGGCTCAGTCCTGCTAACTGCGGGGCACGCTGGCTCTGATGCAGTAAAGCATTGGAGTACATGCTTAATTTTAAAAATGTTAGGAGTCTCCTTGGTTTCAGTGACCCTTCCTCCCCACTTAACATTGAGCATGTGTGCCAGTGCTTTGCTGAATCAGGGCCAGCACGCTCAGTACCTACAGAATCAGGCACTACCTGTTGATTGGTCTTGATAAATGAGGCAGTCACTGAGACTTTCATTTCCCCCAGCAACAGAACCTATCCGGCAAATATTATTCACTGGAGTAGTCCCATTAGTGTCAATGAAATTATTAACATGAATAAGGACTACTCGTACTTGTCCATGAAAAGATTTGCAGGATTGGGCTCTACATTTCAAACAAACCAGTGGATAGCTTTGACAGGATGAGGCTACTCCATTTAATGCTGTGAAAAAATGTCTTTTGAGACATAAAAAAGTTTAAGACTATTTCCCAGCAACAGATTCTTTGCAGTTGTTGTAATAACTGGCAATGTAACTGAGAGTTTCTCTGTCTGAACGAGTGCCATATTGGCTGTAATTCAATTAAAAAAAATTAGCCTTAAGCTCACGTTTTTTAGTAAAGGGTTTGATTTTTATTAAAACTATGTCTTGTCTGCAGAGTTTAGAGTTTAAAATGGTCTAATGTAATTTTCTTCGGGCATAAAACCAGTGGTTATAGTGACATTGCCTGTGGGTATCTGCAGTGTGGAGCACATTCATTACATGAGAAATTCTCAGAAGCCAATTTTACAGAAAAACATTCTGGGAAAGCAGGAAGTGAGGCAAGTCTTGTCCAGAGGATGTGAGAACTCTGCATTCTTCTTGTAAGCATTTTCTAATGATTGCATAGATGATTTGCAGCATCTTGCACCTAAATGGATATAATTAAGGTTCCCTTGAAGTAACAATCATAAAGCCCATAACGAGAAGCTTCATACCTGGGATGTAAAAAACCTTAAGGCCCCAAACTAGTACTCAATGGGTACTCACTGCATTTCAGGATCAGATCTTAATACAAGATTGAAACATGGCATCCCTGATGGCAATGTTCTTAAAGCAGTAATGGGTACCAGCGGCATGTTCTATGTGTGGCCCATGAGACATTTTGTTTACTGTTCCCCAGGCTCAGGATTGCCAGATTCTGCTGGTTGCTGTCCACAATTTTCCTTCCATTTTACTAAGGTGAGGGCATGTGACGTGACGCTTGGCTGCACACAACATTGACTGTGAGAACTGTGCACTCCCTCTGCATCTAATCAAAGTGTGCTACAGTCCAAGCAGCACACCCCACAAATTCTAGGAACACAAGTGCAGTTAACAAAATCACCTTATCCTGGGAGACCATCTTGGTTAGGACAATCTTGCAGCCCATTGAGAGGGAGGGCCAATCATGCAGCCCATTCTCTAGCTTAGGTTGCCCATCATTGTCTTAAAGGGATGAGAGTGAGGCGATAATAGAAATAAGGGGATGAATTGGAGAAGAGATGGATTTCTCCAGTCTTCTTTTGCCACATCCACATTCCCAAATGGCTGAGTAAGGCTTCAGGCTCCATTTAAATGAGAATGGAATCTATTTTAACTTCTCCCAGCAGGTTTCAAACTCAGAATGCAAGTTTGGCATGCCAAATTGAGATAACTTAAAAAAAAAAAACCAAACATGAGTAGTCCTGTGGCACCTTAGAAACTAAGAAGAAATATACATAGTATCATGAGTTTTCAGGGGTAAAACCCTCTTCTTCAGACGAAATGGTCTTGAGATGATCTCATTTGAAGAAGTGGGTTTTGCCCATGAAAGCTCATGATACTATATATATATATTTTTGTTAGTCTCTAAGGTGCCACAGGTGCCACAGGATTACTCATTGTTTTTAAACTTACAGACTAACACGGCTACCCTGCTGAGACTTAGCGATCGCTTAAGTATGTGAGAGCGCAAGCTTCAGAAACAGAGTAAAAGTACCAGAGTTAACTGGGGGACACAGCAATTTGAAGTGTCTGAAGATACATACCTTTAGAAAGCCCTTTGTTAACTAAACTAGTCTTCAGCTTCTTTGGATCAGAGACAAGCCATTCTTTAGAAAAACCCTGCAAGTAAACTGTTGTGTCACCTTTTAACAGATGGTATGTTGCTCCATAAGATCACAGCATTCTGGACAATTTCTTTATATTCCCTGTGTATGGTCACTGCCTCTGTCTTTTAAAAGGGAAAAATATGCAAACGTCTTAGTAGCCAGACATCTTCTGCCACGTGTTGATACTACATTGTATGGTAGTCACCAAAAATGTTTAAGAACAGTTTCTATCAATTCACAACATGCGTAGCTAGTTTTTTTTCATATGATTGTTGCCCTTCTGTGGGGTAAATTGGGCAATGTGTGAGCAAGTGTCAGAATTTTCCAGATTTTGAAATTTAAACAATTTCAAATTTTGAAAATTCAAAAATAAAAATAGATTTTTTTGCTAAATATTTTGCAATTCCCTGTTTTTCAGTCAACAGGTCAATACATACTTCCATATTTCTAACATTACAGAGCAGTTCAACTCCTTTTGAATTATAAATTTTTTTTTTGTACATTCACATTTTTTCCTGACCAGCTTTAGTGGGCACTTTCACATACAAGTAGCCCCTATGACTTCCAACAGGTTACACAAACAATTGATCGTTGTCTGAAGAGCATTACTAGTATTTCTAGAAGGAAACCAACTGATCTAAGTATCAATCATTACAGCACACAGAAGGGAACAGAATTGAATTCTTAAAGACTGCATATTTTAGAGCAGGCCTGCACAACTCAGAAAGCGGCGAGGGCCTTATTACTCAAAAGAAAACAGCTGCAGGCCACAAGTAGAGCTGCCAGATGCTCTCTCAAAAAATACGTGGGCTAAAATTTTTGCCGAGCCAAAAAACAAAACAAAACAATCACCAACCATGTCAGGCATACAAAAAAAAAAAAAAAATAAAATAAAATAAAAAAAAACAAACACCCCACCCCGCACCACCCGGCTTCAGCACGCAACCACAGGAAGCACTACCAGGCACAAATACTGGACTGTCTGGTAGAAAACGAGACACTTGGCAACCCTACCCGCAATGGTAGGTTGGGAGGGGGGTGATACTTTATTAAGAATTTTTCAATTAAATCAGGCCTGCACAACATACAGCTCCCAATGCCCTTATCCTCTCCTCTCCCAGCATCACCCTGTCCCTCCTCCCACTGACACTTCCCTCCTGCCCTTTTCCTCATTGTCTCCACTTGGGCCTCTGGCATTTGTCTCTCCTGCACGCTGTCCCTTGGTGCCTTCCCCTTTCTCTTGACCTGCCCCCCTCCCCTCAGTCAAGCCCCTTCCCCTCCACTACCTGGCTTCTGCCTTCCAGTTTACGGGGCTGCTGGAGCAGTGATGTCTGGCCGCCACGTGACGCCAGCATCCTGGCATCTGCTGGCATCCTGCCCTCTGGCTTGCGCCCCGCCTCCTCGCACCAGAGCTGCTCGGAGGCAGCCCGGCAGCGAGAATCACCGCACTTCCCCCTCCCCGGCGGCGCTCCACTCCTCCGCCTGTCTGGCGGATCGGATGGGGCCACGCTGCCCGTAGTCATCACAGGCTGCCCAGTGAGTCCCTGCAGGCCGCATGCGACCCTCGGGCCGTATATCATGCAGGCCTGTTTTAAAGGATTAATTCCTGAAAATATATGGTGTGATATCAGATAGAAGCTGCTAGATGTTTAATATTGTTCTAGCAATTAATGCTAATGGTAGTTTCCTTCAAAAATAATCTTTCAATTCTCTTCAGAAAATACACCTATTGCTGCTGTGTAAAACCTTCGTCCAGACCAGTATAATATGAATGAAAGACATGTAACTTTTTGGATCATGAGTCGTCAGTTTCAGCCATTGTAAGTTGAATGGCTCTCTGCAATTGTAAGCCATGTAACTCTCAGTTATGTCCCTTTCTATTGTAAGCCATGTAACTTTCATGTAATGTTTCAAGTTCTGCAACTTCTTAAAAACTTTGTAACTTCCTGTACAATCTTTAAGTTCTGTAACATTCTATCCTATGACAGGGGAGTGTGTGCGTGTGTGCAAGTGGTGTGAATAGGGTGTGTAAGTGAATAGGGTAATGTCTGCACCTTTGTGGAGAGGAGCCATGAGGCCACAGAGAGGAGCCAGGGGCTAGGTGTAATCTTTGCTGGCACATGAGAAAGACAAGAAACAGAGGTGCAGTGAAGATGAGAAGAAATTAATATTCATGAGGAAAATGAGGTCTAGGTGGGCCTCTCCATGATGGACACAGAGATAGAACTCAGTGTACATAACGTGGACCACCCAGCTCAAGAAATAGAAGAAAGCATGCAGACCATGGGTTGTACGATCAGCTTGCCAGCCCGGATTGGTGACTGGATTTTATGTGTACCTGAAAGAATCGTGAAGCTGTATCTCTGTCTTCTTTTTCTAGCACCAGATTATCCACAAACATCCAGAAGAATGGCCTGGGACTGCTCTCTGGGGGTTTCCCATATTGTAGGATGCGGTGATATTGATAGAAATACCAAGCTGGGGCAAAAGGGAGGAGGAGAAAGGAAAAGAAGAGTGAAGCAGGTAGCAGAGACACGGTGCCTATCCTGTCTTGCTCTGCCAGTGGGACAGTGCAGCTTTCAGAGAGAGGGGCTATAAGAGCCTCTCTGTCACTTTAGCAAAGACAGCAGTGCAGGACATATGAAATGAGCCTGGAGAGGTTCCTCTTTCACACAGATACAGTTTTCCATTACTTCAGTTTGAGGAGTCATTTCTCATTTCCCTCACATGCACCATGTAAGCAGAGAGACAGTGAACACGGGGTCAGCCCTAGCCCCGGCGCTTGAATAAGCACTTGCTTCTACTAGATCTGAAATGGACCCCAGAGCCACATGGGACAGAGGCAAATTTGAGCTGGAAATGAGGGATGCGCCTCGGAGTCACCAATGGTCAGGCTCCGCACATTACATGGAGGCCCTGGTAAAGGGCAGGGCGGTGCTGCCCAGCCTGAGTGGCTGCAGTTAGCCCCAGGAGAGGAGGATGCTTCCTGAAGCTCCATGTTGTGCAGGGGGAGCGTGAACACTAAAATGCCTACTTCATGGGGTGCCAAATAACTACAGCCTCGCGGTGTGTTGGTCAGAAGAGACCACTGTGATCACCTAATTCTCTTTCCACAAAGCCAGTGACAGTGTGGAGGAGGACAGAGCTGCTTCTCACTCTGGCTGGAGCACCAGGAGCTCTCTGGGGGTAAAGATGGTTCAGGCCCTCTGCTTTCTGGCATTCTGGCCTGCCCTTGTGTGGGCTGTTCAACTCTTATATAGAGTGAGGGTCTTCCCTGCACCCTCTACCACTGCATACTCACATTAAGACGAAATGGAATATGGCTGCTACCATAGAGATTGTAAGGTCAAAGGGCGTCTCCTAGGAAATCTCTCTCCTTCCATAGGTGAGGAGATATAGCAGATTTAATACAGTTTAATTAAAATTGTTGTCTTCTCTCTCTCTCAAATGCTGGGGGAATCCTATGGCCTGTGGTATCCTGGAGGTTTAGACTATGATCACAGTCACAGTGGTCCTTTCTGCTGTAACAGCACAAAGAGCTGTAATCCCCAGAGGACTTATAGCCAGCAAAGCCCACTTTAACCTGTCCCTCCCAAACCCTGCTGGACGGGGCACGTGTCAGAGGATGGAGGGCTGTGGTCAGATTGCACTGTGTTGGAGAACTCCCACAGCAGTATTTTGATTGCTGGCACAAGTCAAGGTAATTCAGAACCAACTTGAGAGTACTGAAAAATCACACGAGGTGCCAAACCACATCTCAGCACTCCTGGGAATAAGGAGAACAGACAAATATCTTAAGCCACATTTTGCTCCACCCCCATCTCCTCAGTTGTACCATGAGGAGCTCTGGTACAGTTAAAGATTTAACTCTGTCAGACTGATTAATTATATATCATTTTATACTCCATGACACCTCTTACCGGGAGTGTGTTTGTAGGAATTTCCAACTGGAGGAGTGGAACCAAATATGAAATCAAAAGGAGCCACTTCTTTTACCTAATAAGATGTACAAGTTTCAGAACTTCTTGTTTCTTTTAGAACCATGTATTTACATTCTTCTTTTGGTGGCTATTAAAATGCAAGCTTTTGCATACAGGCACTCAGACACTAAAGGCTGTGTCTACATTGGCAAGATTTTGCACAAAAGCAGCCACTTTTGCGGAAAATCTTGCCGCCTGTCTACAATGGCCACGAGTATTTGCTCAAAAACACTGACATTCTATTGTATGAAATCAGTGCTTCTTGCACAAATACTCTGATGCTCCCGCTCAGAGATAAGTCCTCTTGAGCAAGTGTTCTTGTACAAGAGGCCAGTGTAGACAGGTAACATCAATTTCTTGCGCAAGAAAGCCCAATGGCTAAAATGGCCATCGGAGCTTTCTTGTGCAAGAGAGCATCTACACTGGCACGGATGCTTTTGCGCAAAAGCAAATCTTTTGCACAAAGGCACATGCCAGTATAGACGCTCTCTTGCACAAATACTTTAACGCAAAAACTCTTGCGTTAAAAGTATTTGCACAAAATCATGCCAGTGTAGACACAGCCTAAGAGGATAGGTGTGGTATAAGAACCTGAATGGAACAGAACCTGATATGAGCAGTGGCTCTATCTGAAGAATTCTTTCCCTCCTAGTTTGCCCAATGCAAGCCTCTCTGGGGACATTATCAGATGTCACTCCCAATCACAGATAATTCTGCATTATTCTCTTATTAAGTCACAGAGGGCTTGTACTTAATGCTTAAGTTAGCATTTAGTCATTGCATAGCTCTCACACAACTGAAAACCAGAACGTGGTGTTGAGTGCAGTGTGTAGTTCAGAACCCCAACTTCTAAAATAGAGTCTGACCTTTGGTCTTTGCAGCCCATGCTGCACTGTTCCATAACAATAGCATTTTCTCCACACAGATTCATCCTTGTACTAAACATGCAAAAAAAGAATAACTGATCTGTACCAAGCAGCCAGTAATGTCTGCATACAGAAGGCCAAATTTTCAAAATGTAATTTTGTGCACATGATGTTTTGCACTCAAATCACTTACATATGGAGTTAACCCTTGTGCATACAGGTAATAGAAAATACATGCACATGGTGCCAACAACAATACATCAGAAGACACAGTGGTGAGGAAATTGTATATACAAAGGATGAATGTCATTAGCTGCACAAAAATCTCCACCCTCCTTTTAAAGTGGACATGAGTTGGCATAATCTCTCAAAGACTGGCATGGGAGAACTAGTTGTGAAGACCACCAGACTTTGCAATACAAGACCACGGCATGAAAAGAAAAGGAACTAGGAGTTTAGAAAGGCAAATGGCAGCATAGTGAGTGGTCAGATTTTGAAATACTAAATATGGTATGGGTTATGCTATTTATCCATCACTGAAATTGCAGAATGGTGGTGTACTTTCAGTGGGCAAATGAGGATGGTTTGAATAAAATTAATTACAGAGTGACTTGGACATCTGTAAGGGTGTGTCTAGACTACAGAGTTGTTGTTTTTTTAAAGTGGAGTTTTTTTGAAAAAACTGTACCTGCGTCTAGATTACTGCCGCATTCTGTCCACAGTAAATCGAAAGAACACAGCAGTTTTGTCGATGGCAGTAAACCTCATTCTGAGGCCTTGACAAACAGCAGTGAAATCTACTCGCCAGCCCCGCACTGTGCATGCGCATGCCGCTAGTGAACGGGGAAACCGGCTAAAATCTACTCACCATGGGCGAGTAGATTCAGTGATTTGTCGAGCCCTGCTCATTCTACAAGGAATAATGCCTTTTTTCGAAAGTCATCTTTTGAAAAAAGGCGCTATTGCATGAAAACAGGGCTTTTTCGAAAGAGAGCATCTAGACTCTCTTTCGAAAAAGCGAGCCGCTTGTTCAAAAAATCTTGTTGTTGTCTAGATGCTCTTTTTTGAAAGAGGCTTGCAGTCTAGATGTAGCCCAAGATTTCACAAAGAAAATACTGCCACCATTTCAGGCGGGATCTCTCAATTCTTGGAGCAGGGGAAATTTTCAGTCAATTAATTGAATCCCTTGTAGCATGTACTTGATTAAACCATGCATTTATATGGAGAATCTGCTCTTCCATTGCCCCATTATACAAAGTTTGGTAAACATAGACCCACATTTCCACTTCTCTCCTCTCTTCCCCAACTGAGTAAGGAGATTTTCCAGTAGGGACATTTGCATTAGGGGCAATAGAATTACTGTTATTTATTGCTTGCATTGTGGTACTGTCCACAGGAACCAATCAAGCCAAGGCTCTAATATACTAAGGTGCTCTACATACATAAGAATGGCACAGTGGGTCAGACCAAAGGTCTGCAGGGGCAATAGAATTACTGTTATTTATTGCTTGCATTGTGGTACTGCCCACAGGAACCAATCAAGCCAAGGCTCTAATATACTAAGGTGCTCTACATACATAAGAATGGCACAGTGGGTCAGACCAAAGGTCTGCCTAGCCCAGTAACCCGTCTTCCTACAGTGGCCAATGCCAGGTGAAACAGAGGGAATGAACAGAACAGGTAACTGTATGTCAAGTGACATATAAAGCACATATGAAGATACAATACTCACTTGAAGGAACTTACAGTTCAGGGACCCTTTAGTGCCCACTGAAGTCAGTGTAAAAACACCCAGGCTACGTCTAGACTGGCATGATTTTCCGCAAATGCTTTTAACGGAAAAGTTTTTCCGTTGAAAGCATTTGTGGAAAAGAGCATCTAGATTGGCACGGACGCTTTTCTGCAAAAGCACTTTTTG